CCGGGCCGCGCAGAGCCGCCCCTCTCCCTGCTCTCGCGCAACTGTCAGGCGAAACGGGCCGGCGGATATTGGCTCGGCGACACGCCGAGGCTCCTCCCCGAGTCTGGATCTTTATATTTTGGGAGAATTTCTTTGAACTCAGTTACCAAGCTCGGTGAAGGAGACAAGTTCCCACAGCCGGCTCGGCTCGGCGAGGGCTCGCCCACCTTCCCTGCAGCTGCCGTGTGCCCTGATTGTATTCCTCTTCCCTCGTGGAGAGGAACGGACTCACTTGGCTGCGGAAAATGCCAATAATCTGGATGCAACCGTGAAAGGAGAACGTGTGGCTCGGAGAGGCAGAAGACGATGAGGAAAAGCTTTATTTGAAGAGAAGAATAAACCAGCTACCCCAACCCTTTCTGCAATTGGCGTTTTACTTCTGGGGTCCATTTGCTTTTATCTCCCTCCTCCGCCCCTCCTTTAAGAAATCTTGACTTGAGGGCCAAGAGACAGCCCCCTACAACTGGGGGACGCTTCTGGGTTGGAAGACCTCTCGGATGTAGCGTTGGTGGAACACTTAGATACTCTCCTCTGGAAACGCCACCATGAATTCGGTAGCTGGGAATAAAGAGAGGCTTGCGGTCTCCACCAGGGGCAAGAAATACGGGGTAAGTTGTGATCGGCACAATGCGGAGACGCGTTACCAGACCGTCCTCAGCCCGGAGCCCCCTTTCCCGGGAACGTGCAGCGGGGGCCGGGCAGCCCCGCCGAGCCGGCGGCCAGCGCGCGGCCCCAGCCTCCTCCGGCTGCGTTGGAGCCTCCGCCGGCCGGCGGGCTGTGCGTGCGCGGAGGCGGGTCTGCCGCGGGGACTCCCGCACGGTCGTCTCGGGAGCTCTCGGAATTTTGTCAGTCTGCTCTTTCCTTCCGTACTCTGCACCCGTAACTTTTGCAGCATTCCTGCACTTGCAGGCAGAGTTAAGCTAAAGGGGGAGGGTTTACCATGAATGAATGCTCTGCCATTTCTCAGATCGTTGCCCTGGAGTCGGGAGAGCCTTTCGTTTACCTGCAGGAGCTGGAGGACTGTACCTCCAATGAATAAAAACCCAGAAATCCCTCACCTCCCGGCATAGCGTCTTCCAGGATCTTGTACCTGGGCTCTTGGTGGGGTGGGTGCTGGGTTTAAAGTGCGGGGAGCTGAATCAATCTGTGGTCCCCCCGTTCAGAACCCGTTGAATACCTCGGAGCGAGCCCTTTTCCTCCTGACCCCAGGGGTCCACCAGCTCCGGCGCAGGGGTCACCCGGGAGGTGGGGACTCACTAAGGGCAATTAACGAGAGAGATGGAGAGCGATTTGGCTGCAGGAGTTGGGGCGGTCCCGAGTGGGTGCCCATGGGCGTTCGGCCGGACCCTTGGTGGCGCGCGGATTCTCTGGCCGGTGGCTGGGTGCCCCCATCCCCGCCCAGGTCCGAGGCGTCCAGCCGGCCGCCCTGCGGGCCCCTGACCCCGGCGTGTCTCCTCGTGTCCTCCCGCAGGTGAATGAAGTCTGCTCGCCCACCAAGCCGGCGGCGCCCTTCTCTCCCGAGAGCTGGTACAGGAAAGCCTATGAGGAGTCGCGCGCCGGGAGCCGGCCCACCCCCGAGGGCGCAGGCTCAGCTCTCGGCTCGTCCGGGACCCCGTCCCCCGGCTCGGGCACCTCGTCCCCGAGCTCTTTCACGGGCTCCCCGGGCCCCGCCTCCCCGGGCATCGGCACCAGCTCGCCGGGCTCCCTGGGCGGTTCTCCGGGCTTCGGCACGGGCTCCCCGGGCTCGGGCAGCGGCGGCGGCTCCTCCCCCGGCTCGGACCGTGGCGTCTGGTGCGAGAACTGCAACGCCCGCCTGGTGGAGCTGAAGAGGCAGGCTCTGAAGCTGCTCCTCCCCGGGCCTTTCCCCGGCAAGGTGAGCGCCGCGGCGGGGGAGAGCGGGCGGGGCGGCCGCAGAGCGGG